TGTTTCGAAGAAATGATGAAAAGTGAAGTAGGCCTAAGCTGTCGTTGGAAAAAAACCCCATGTATTTTTGCGGTATCTGCTGTTTCTGAACTGTATACACAATAACGTACTGAAAGTCCGAAAAAAAATGCAATCGCGAAATTTTTTTCATAATATTATGGACCAACTTCATTTAATTATTTAATGTAAGCTTTCACCAGCAGTCTATGTTGGCTTCATCATGTGCAGCAGAAGGTACCTTTGAAGTCAAGATTTCACATAGGATCTGAGATGATTTTTTTTTATTTCATTCGCATCCAACAGCGAGTACTCGCCAATTACAGGATGGACGGTGCTTAAACCGAGTCTCTGAGCAAAATATTTCTGCCATATAGGATTTGAACCCAGGAACCGGGAATACAAAAGGCAAGCATCTTAAGCTATGCAACTATAACCCCCGCTCCTGGTCAGGTTGAAAATTAATAACTTCTTTGAAGCTTTTAAATAAGCTATTAAAAAGTTTGATTGAAATTTTGATGTTGTCTTTTGGAAGACAGTGCACCTTCAGAATCTTAAGATTTCGCGTAAAAGGGTCCGACTAATTATTGTGTAGCAAGCTTCACTCCCTGGGCAAAATCTTGTCTGGTACAGCTAACTTCTCAAGATGCTCGGCGTAAGATGTAATGATGTCATCCGAGAACTACAGGAATTGCACATTTTAAAGGCGCATCTTCTTATTAAAGATGATTCCTATCTAGATTAAACTTAGGACTATGAAAATGTTTTGTTAATGTATAATATTGTTTATGAGTTTGCAAGCTGAGGGCCGTCGGAACCGCCGCACCGGCCACACCGCCGACTGGACGGACCACTTCAATTGTATTACTTTTTTAAATAAATATTTACTTATACCTATGAATTATATAAATTTGTTAATAATGTTCGCATCACATTGTCTTTGTAATGTTATACAGTATTTAAACGAAAAAAAATAAAATAAAAAAAAAATCATGCGCTTTGTTTGTGTATTGCCTAGGCCTATGTACATTTCAACCTGTTCGACAAGGATCGCTTTGCTCCGGCGTGAAGTATTTCTATTAAAGACTAAATGTAGAAACCCACAGAAAATACCAAATACAAACTGGTCATTGCTTTTGTTCCTGCATCCTGGTTTCCACAGTAAGACTTCTGAATCCTTGTAAAACTAAAACTAACATTGCGCCACTCCACTATAAAAAATACCAAAAAAAAAAACAAAAAACAAAAAACAACAAAAAAACCTGGGTTGCCCTTGAATCTTAGGTAAGCCTATGTCTATCACCTGGTAGATCTGTCCATGGGGTTTACCTACAGTACATGGGTTGTCTGCAATAATTGACTAAATTTAAAGTGTAATCGGTATAATTGGCCTAGCAGAAGTAACACAGCATTAACATTTTACAAACTTTTAATAAATCAAGTGATTGTACAAAGCACCTAGAATGTGACAAATAATTCATTATTACTTCAGTAAATCACTGTTATTTATTTATTACGTATTCGTGTTCCTTAAACTTTATTCAATCATGGGAAAATTAGAAACTCGATTCATCTTTTTTTTTTTTGGCACTGAGAAATTAAATTTTGATAAATTTATCAATTTCGCAATAGACGTATAAATTGTCTTATTCACATGAAAAAAATAGGCCTAAGCTAGATGCGCCACACTGTCTAGCGGGTGCCATATTTTCAAATGGGGGCGGGGGGCGCGAAGGTGAAGTGAGGGGCTCAATGATCAGTTGAGGGGTGCTAATTCGCAAAGTAAGGTGATTTTAAGTGATTTTTTGGGGAAGAGTGGGGGAGGAGTAATTTTTGGAGGGATGTTCACCACCCCCTCCCCCACCTTCTTAGATAAGAAACTGGTTTTAACTGACATTATATTTTGATTCCCACACTTCTATTGCTGACCTGTTGGAAACCTTTATGTCTTGTTTATGTATACAGTGCACCCTCCAATTCTATACCCCTCTAATTCCAAGTCCCTTCTAAATCGAGACCACTTTTCCAAAAACCCATATAACAATCTTTAAGCAAGCTAGCCTTATAGTTGGAGACCACCCCCCCCCCCCGGGTTCTGCACGTTTTGTCAGGCAAGCCACTTAAAAAGTGCTTGCACTTCGTGGCAATCCTCAGTTAATTAAGATCTTGTGGTTCTGGGTTCTGCACGTTTTGTCTTCTATTGCTTTAAGTTTACCTGGATATTCAGTAATGAAATTAAAATTGTATTGCAAATAATGTGTTGGTCAATAACATTATTTGAAAGTTAATTGATAACAAATCTACAACTCTAATATCACTAGAACGTTAAAACCTAAAAAAAATATGACCATAACATATTTTGTTTCAAATTTCAGGAAAAAATATTCAAATGTTGCATCATGATACTCTCCTTGGCTATTATCAGTGGCGGATTCAAAGTTGTCCGATAGAGATAACAACACCTTGGCGGTCCGGGGGCATTCCCCCGAGAAATTTCGGTTTTCTAACGCACAAAAATAACATCTGAGGAATTTTGTGTGATCATCTTTTTCTTTCTTTCTTCTTCTTCTTTTCTATTACTTTCCAAAAAGGGGGGAGGGGCTGTTCCCCCCACCCCCACACAAATCCACCAGTGATGATCTCTGGATGCCTGAATGTTTAGCATAGTGAGTGTACCAACTCAGTTGTTACTAATGGTTATTCTTTGGACAAAGTGCTATAAATAATACTATTCTAATACTACTAACATACAGAAAACATTACAACTAAATCACAATTTACTAAAAAAATCTTTTAATGTCAATTTGTCACTCTTGGGTTATATAGTATAGAAAAACAGGCCACATTTCCACATGAAATGAAAACTAGAAAGTGCTGGGTAAAAGTATATATCAAATAATATATATGCAATAAACAGTCATGTACAATCAAGTATTGAACGAAAACTAGTTGAAATTCATATACAGTATATTTCTTATCATAAAATATACATGTTTACTATATAAAATGTCTTAATGAAATGACTTAGAAATTATTATATCTACTACAGTAGCTGCGTTGTCATCTTCGATAAACTCTGTTACTACTATTTTTGGCCTCCAGTTGATACTGGTTTTTAGCCATGACACAGGAATAATTTGCCTCGCTGTTTACACTTTAATATGACATGTACCCTATTCACAACATTTTACATGAAACAGAGATAATTTTAATCACAATCATTGACAATTGAAATGAATTAAAATCAGTACAATTGCTAGGCAACACATGAAAATATGCCACTGTAAAAGATAAGCTGTACCTAGTGAGCATGTGCACAAAATCTATGCAGGGTCCAGGGACACAGGACATATCAGTCAAACTGGACTTCATCAGGAAGAAACAAATTATTTTATCAGAGAACAATGCTTTGAAAATGCATTTTTACAGCGAGTCCCAGAGTACATTTCTTAGCATCTATGGATTACTATTCTTAAAATTTGCTCATTTCAACCCCACACATAGCTGGGCCGGGGATCCTGTAGAGATTTCAGATGCCGTCATTGATTCATGTACTATAGGGGTATAAGAGCATCGTGATGTGCTTGCTTACATGGATATTACATGGGACGTGAATTAATCTTACATGGAAGTGCCTCCACATGAACAATTTCACACAGGATACTACATTTTCCTTAACACATGTCCCTTTTAACATGTTTCCTGTGAATAGGCTATAACTCACACATATGTAATCAAATCATTACTGTACATTTTAAAATGAAACATGAGAGAATTAAAAAGCACATACGTACATTGTAATCAACATTTTTTCAAGTGAATAGGCTCTTAGTAATCAAATCACATGAAAATTTGGAAGCCTTCGTAAACATTATTTGAAAAATAATCCATAACTGATACTGACCAATCAAACACTTTCTTAACATTTATTCATTCCATACTTTCAGAGACCAGCTCTAAAAAAAAAATGGTTACACGATAAAATAGACCTATGGTCAAAATATATTTAGAAATCACTATGGCTAGAAAAAGTCTTTTTTAAATAAAGCAAATTTATCAATTATACCAAGTAAACAATTTTGCATAAATTTAATAGTCATTCAAAAATGACAGAATACCTTTCTCATACTGTCCTCTTTTTAAAAACTCATTGTAATCATATAAAATGTGTAATGGACTAGATATGAACAATTTTTAAGATATTGCATAATATTAAGTAGTTTCTTAGGGCTTGTTTCTACAGCCAAGACAACAATGGTTTAATATGTTACATATTAACTAGTATTCTACTGGCAGTAGAAATGTTAGGGTAAAAAAAAAATGAATAATTAAAATTCAAATTAAAAGTGCAGGAAGATTCCAATAATGTACAATACAAGAACTTAGGGTCTAATTTTTTTACTTGCAACAGAAAATAGTAAAATTGTTTGAACTACAACCTCATGTTAGGATTCCTGTTTTACAGATAATGAATGATGAATTTTGCTCAAGATTTGGACTTGCGTAAGATTAAAAGTTCATGTATTGTAAGGATCTGCACGGGAAATGAATCAAGGGCATACAATACATTTTGAAACCTTGCAGCTATGGATATGCTTGTTTGAATGACAAGAAATTTATATAAGGAGTGATGTTTTGCCTACCTGACATGTTATCATAATACTCAGTAGGTTCCCAAATACTTGTGGCAAACCTCCAGTGATTCGGGTGTGACTTGTTTTTCACAAATATTTGGGAACGTACTGAGTATTCGGTAAGATGACACGTCCGGTAGGCCAAAACAAAATATCACGCTTATGATATTTTCCTGATGCCAACTCACATCAAAATAAGAAACTTATATATTGATAATATCTGAAATAGTATTATCAATAACAATATGTATGGCAGCATCTTTTTAGTTATAAAAATAAAAATAGAATTGAAAAATAAAAGTGTTCTGACATTTTAATAAATTAATATTGGTTGCTTTTAAAAGGTTTATTTGATCTGATCTGAAATCTGTTTGTCTCAAAAAATCTACATTTTCAGTTTGTTCATTATTTAGTTTAACTAAATTGATATCTTTACAAAAATAGTTGGATATATATCAAGGTGTTTTTTTTATCTGATTTAAGAAAAAGAAGAATTATTCTTCCTCATTATATTATATTTCATTTAATATAAGAGGGTGTCATCCATGTGATACCCATTGTAAAATATATTTGTAATAATCTACATATTTTTATAATGTATTTTAAGATCATTATTGCATTAATTATTAATCTATAGATTTATATAAATTTATCAAAATATTTTTCATTATGTATAGACACAAATTCTAAACACAGCATTCAGGCCAGACACAAAAATGCTTGCAAACACACACCACCACCATCTCGTATTTTGTAGGTAACACAGTTGTACAGCCCTATTTCTTGACATCATCATCAACAGCAGTATATGCAGGAGGAGGTTCAACAGAGAGGCCGACCGCGACTGGATGGGTGTTACCATATGCCATATGTAGAAGATCCGGTGGTAGATGGGGATACTTTTCGTCAATTGGTACCTTCTCGTTAAGGCCACCACCGATGGCTCCAATGGTTGTGTACGTTGGATTTTCAACACCCATATCATCGCCGCCGATACCAGTTGACTAAAAGAAGAATGAAATGAAATAGCAATTTTTCCATATTGACTACTAAGAGGATTCTTGGGTTGTGGGAAAAAATTATAACTTGGCCTTCACAGTACAGTATCCTGGTTTTAAGAATACTGTATCTCTAAACATCTATAATAATGAATGCTGCAATTTTAGCATATCGTTTCTTTTTCTTGATGTATTTTTACTGTAACTGATGGGTGGACTGAACATTTTGTTAGGATCACTTTGAAGTTTAAGAGCATTCAATATTGTGTCTCAAAAGTTTCCTCCCCTATTTTTTGGATATGTGTGCCCCCAGTAGATAGATTTGAACAAATTACAATTTAACTTCTACATAAAATAAACTGTAACAATAAAGGAAACAGTTAACTTATAAAAAGGCTAAAAAATATCAGGTTGATGAAAAATAACTTTAAATAGAGATAAAATAAATTGTACTACTTACTACAGCAGAAACATTTGGCCCTGTCCTATAGGATACTACAGTATTACTTGAACTCATCAGTCTAAAAAATACATAAGAGGTTAAGAAGGTCACTATTTTGATACGATAATATAACATGGTAATCTGTGGTTAATCATATTATTGTGTACTTTTATCATATTATTGTTAATATAAATATTAGTAATACACAATTTACATTATTAATATTATTATCACTAATTATATTTAGTGATAATAATATTATCACTAATTTTAATTAGTAATAATAATATTATCACTAAATTATAATAATAATTATTAAACAAATAAAATGCATATAAAACAAAGACCAGCATGAAGAAACATACCTTTTCCTTCTGAGAAGGATAAACAAAACTATGCAGACAATCACAATGATAGCCAATGCTAAGAGCCCAGACAGAATGGGGACTAGTTGATCTGCAATGAACAACATCAAATTATCTTACATAATATATTTTGAGTAAACTTATAGATACATAATTTTTTTTACTGAAGTGTATTTTGATTTTTAAGGTTATTATTATTATTTTCTACATTTTCTGTAGTAATGTACTGAAGTTAGATATGATGAAAAGCA